GGGGGGGGGGGGGGGGAAACGTGATATAACACAACTTGCTAGCAATGAGCCTGTGGGTGAAGCGCCGACATGTGTGGGACGGTGCGCTAGTGAGACTCTTTGGACTACCATCCCAGTGGAGGTAAGGGGATTGAGGTCCATGTAGCAACCAAGGTGCAAGGGTTACTGATGTGTTAGTAACCATGGAAGTCCCTGAAAATGGCCTGGCAGAAATTAGGACTTCTCCCTGTGAAAAAGTGGTAGGGCCTTTAGCCCGACTGAAGTGTGTCTACACCAATGCACGCAGCATGGGCAATAAGCAGGAGGAACTGGAAGCCATTGTGCATCGGAATAACTACGATGTAGTAGCTATCACGGAAACATGGTGGAATGAATCACACAACTGGAGTGCTGCCATAGATGGGCATAAGCTTTTCAGAAGGGACAGGCAAGGAAGGAAAGGTGGTGGGGTGGCCATGTTTGTTAGGGAATGCTATGACTGCCCAGAGAGTAGCAATAGTGACAATAGGGTTGAGTGCCTATGGGTGAGAATCAAGGGGAAGGCCAACAAGCCAGATATCATGGTGGGAGTTTGCTATAGACCACCAAACCAGGATGAAGAGATAGACAAAATATTCCATAGCCAGCTGGGAGAAGCCTCGCGATCGCTTCTGCCTGTACTTGCAGGGGACTTCAACTTCCAGGATGTCTGCTGGAAATATAACACACCAGAGAGGGAACAGTCCTGGAGGTTCCTGGAGTGTGTGGAAGATAACTTCCTGATGCAGCTGCTGAAGGAACTGACAAGGGAAGGTGCCCTGCTGGACCTGGTGTTTGCTAATAGAGAAAGTCATGTAGGGGATGTGATGGTAGGAGGCTGTCTTGGGCAACTGGTTAGACATAAATCAAACTAAGCTAATAATAGGATTAAAAAGGGGAATAAATGAAATGGTCCAAGAAATGGGAACACTCCTGAGAGCTCTTGTATTCTGATAAATCAACTGCCTGTCACTGCCATGAGAGCATCCTGAACCATTCCCCTAGCATTTCTGCACCTACGATACTGCTTGTTTCCAACCTTCTATTTTTATGAATTATTTTTTACACACAGAAGACAGGTATTAGAGCAAGAAAATATTTTTTAAAATACATGTATATTTTATAAGTCACACCAACTACACTAAAATTCTTACTTCCCCAAAACAAAATTCTGCAATACAGTGCAACATATAAATCTCAAAATTTTTACTAGCGATAGGTTTTATGAATATGGTTACATGAACACGTAAATGACATCTGAAATCCCTACAACTCACTATACAATGTTCAGTATCTAAGCATTAGGTATCTTCCTTACAGTAAGGAACCACTGGGCAGTCATTTAACTGCTTCACAGACAACGTAATTATATTTTATTTCTTTTAGTGCAGAACAGAGATCCACAGAACAGATGCCTTGCTCATATTCATATACTGGGGTAAGACAGTGAAAAATACTTACAATTTGGTTTCATAATCCTTCCAGGCTTTGTCAAAAGGCTTCTTGAGGTCCTTAGGAAACAGAAAATATGCTTAGAACATTTTTAAACTTCCTTTTTTTAGTTAAGATACCAAGTCACAAATAACAACAAAAAATACTATTTTAAGACTTTTCAAATAGGAGTTAGAAAAGACGCCATGTTTTAATCTTGTTAATCATTACTTTCCTGTGCACCTTAAGACAGGAATTTATAATGCAACTCTAAAGAAGCATCATAGTCTCACCAATTTTTAGTTTTTTTTTTCTTTGGAATACATACATAAATATCAGTGAATGCCAGTATAAGAAATAATCTCATAGCTAAATGCAAAACAGCCACAAGACAGCTGAACCTGAAAACACTTCCCGAAATAAAAAGTTAGTTTTCAAGACTTACCCCTTTAACACCTTTTAAGTCTCCTTTTAAGAGAGAATCCAAAGTGAAAATAACATTGTGGCTTAAACCCTGGAGCTGAAAAATAAAATAATAAAAATATCAAACATGAAACTGTTATCACTCAAAAAGATTTATTATGAGGTTATCAAACTACTGCCAACAAGTCTTTGAACTCCATTAATGAAGTTGCAGTCACCTCAAAATTTTGAAATTAATAGCAAATTCAAGTCTGGGAAGAATTAATAAACATTCACTTTCATCAGAGACATAAGTATTATAATTAACCTTTAGTTATATAGGGCAATTTAAAACCAGAATTTTAAAAACAGCATATAAGCAATGTTCTGACAGCATCTCAAGGCAATCTGCAGTCTCTCAAAGCAAACATTTGAATACTGCTTAATCACACAGGAAGCAAATGAGGTTTTGGAACTAATGTTTCTTGTAGCCTCCTGAGGAAGCAGCAAGGCCCTGCAGTGGTACAGGCAGGTAACACGCGAGGCCCGTGCTAATTCAACCATGAGCAAAAGGAGCCAAGAGTCACCAGCTCCTTGGTTCTTCCCAACTATTTGGGAACACTGTTCCTCTCCTCATCCAGCATGGAAAGCTGACATCTGCTTAAACCCTCAAGAGTTTAAATTTCACCCTGTTATGTCCATGCCTGGGTGATTACAGATGTGTGGAAATGTTTTGTTTGCGTTTGGCAACCAACCCTACCGCTGTGGTCCTATCTGAACACCTGGTGCGTACAGATCACGAGGAGTCGTGATCACAGCAAAGAGATGTGTATCAATATTATCTGAAAAGTCTGTTGCCTCTCCCACTCCCTTCATTTCTCCTCCAAAATACTCAGTTCCTTGTTAAGAAAGGACAGGGAGAAAGACGAGAAGGCTGCAAGACAGCACATCTTCTGCTTGTAAACCAAAGGAACAGCGAAGTGTTACGTTAGTGGTTTTAATCTGCCATGGCCCAGTTCCCCTCTCCTATAAGGTCTTCTGAGCATATTTTTGTCCAGAAAATTAATTTTTAAGAGATTTTTGTGAAATAGATGATCGATACACATGAGAGAATCAAAATGAACACTCAAACTGGTCCATGAGGTATAACATTTCATGCATGAAAAAGTAAATATTCCATTCTTCAGAAGTGACATTACACAATTCTAAATACATGCACATAAAAAAAATAGTAAAAGAAACCCCATTCTTATATCATGGTTTATTTTTTTTCATAGGAGTAAAATAAAGTCAGGATGAAACAATGCATGATCTGTGTGCATTCACTGCTGTTTTAAGAGCCAGGGCCTCTGATCAATTTACAGGCAACTTCTTGTACCATGTCACTATTTACAAGACTGACCTTCACCATATATAAAAAAGCATAGTGTATTTGTTCTCCAAATATCTTAAGCAGGAAGATGTTAGTTGGGAGAAGAGGAGACTGAGGAGAGATCTTATCACTCTCTACAACTACCAGAAAGGAGGGCGTAGTGAGGTGGGTGTTGGTCTCTTCTTCCATGTAACCAGTGACAGGACAAGAGGAAATGACCTCAAATTCCACCAAAGGAGGTTTAGTTCAGATATTAGGAAAAAATTATGTACTGAAAGATTGGCCAAGCATTGGAACAGGTTGCCCAGGGGGGTGGTAGAGTCACCATCACTGGAGGCATTTAAGAAGTGGGGGGATGTGGCACTTGAGGACACGGTTTAGTGGCCATGGTGGTGTTGGGTTGATGGTTGGACTTGAAGATCTTAGAGGTCTCTTCCAGCCTTAATGATTCTGTGATTCTGTAAGGTCCCCTTGAGATCCCTGCCAAATCCAACCACCAGAGCTGGAGCATAGTTCAGATGCCTGTTGCTCTAACGAAGAGGCAGAGCAGGCCTCCAAAGCACAGCTCCCAGACTGGATGTGCATTATCCTCCAGAAAGCACAGGGGTCCCAGCATGGCAGATGGGAAAGGGGACCTTTGAACACAGGTTATTATACAGCTCCTTAATTATCACCGGAGAGCTTGTCAGCCACCCCTTAAGCTTTGTTCTTTTTAAACAGCTTGCAGCTTTCATAAATGAAAGTTATTCTTAGTAGGAGTTAGATTCAAATTCAGCAAACATATGAAACACACTTGTATCTTCATGTTCAAGATACTTGACAACTGTTTCATGTGTCGATATTTTGTATTTTTTTAATTGACAAAAATCTTATGTTTAAAATGTATTTATTCAAGGCAAGATGAAGGCGAGCTACTAGAACACCTCAAGCTGCAGCCTCAAACAATAACGAACACAGAGCAGAGGTTTTTCACGGCTTAAAAGATCAAGATCTGAAAAGAGATTTTCTCCTTCACTTCAACAACATAACAAGTGCAATAATTTGCAAGTTTTGTATTAAACAAAAAAGGAACCTAATAACTTCCAGTGATACTTTATCAAAACACAGATTAAAGAAAAGATATTATTGTCTTCATTCTCAACCACTTTAATCAGTTTGCACTTAACAACCTTAACTGAAGTTCATATATCAAATGTGAATGTTGAGAAAGAATATTTAAAAAAATGAATCCCAGTCTAGTTCTTAAAAACAGAGAAAACACACATTTCTGCAGTATGAGTGGACATGGGAGACTTAAAGTAGCTATCAGGGCAGGGATGAACAACAGTACATGACTGTGGCCTTTTTCAGTTTTCTAAGCGTGGTTTTCCAAGTCTTTAAGGATAACTAATTCAAGCCATTAATACTTGGCCTGACATTACTGAACAGTAGCTAGCTAGTATGTCAGCTAGGAAAAATAAACCCAAAAAACCCCTAAATAGCAGTGTATGACTCCAGTATGGTAAGACTTCTGGCATTATTTGTTACATACTTGAAGACTTGATAAAACGGTAGTCCAAATGAATTGGATAACAAAGCAAAACAGTCTCATATCTACAGCAAAATAAAGGAAAAAACCTAACAGATGGAAATAAATATGATAATTTTGGGAGGAGGTATGTGAACAGAAGATAACTTGCCCACAAAGATTAGCTGAGGATATTTAATTAACAGGCTTTAAACATTTGGAAAAAGCCAAGCACCATGCAAAATTTGAGAACAAGAAGTAATCTGCAAGTGCTCCAAATGTTCCAAAACCTCACTGAGATCAATTTAAAGATATTTACACACTTAGTTTCTCATACACAGATCTTCATAAAGCTTGTAAATGCAGTATTATAATGAATTACTGCATGAAGAATAAAACCTGGAACAGGAAAGGAGGCAGATGTAGTAAAAACAGGGAAAATGACGCTGGTGGGACACTCAGATTGCCGAAAATGTAGGCCAATGTTGACAATGGCCAATCACAATGTAATTCCTTTACAGAACATCACGGAAGTGGTCAGTGTGTGTCAACCTTAAAAAAATACCCTCCGAATTGTAACACAATATTTATATGTTTTCACTTTCGGATGTTATATTTAGTGATAGCATCAACAGCTTATAGTAAAAATTGCATAGCGACTTATTTGTTTTTGCTAAAGTGATTAATGAATATGCTTTTATTCTTGACCTTGAGTGCAGAAACACTGCACTATCATTTCAAAACACTGGTTTCCAAGAGCTGTATATGCAGTACAAGTTGCTGGCTTTACTTCATAGTACGCGATCATAGCAATTAAGTGAAGTGATCACCCTGTAACTCCTTCACACAGGAGAAAATTATTCTGTACCCTCCTTCTCATGAAATATGCATAATATCACAAGTCATAAGAAAATATTTAATGAATCATAATTAAAGTTCGAGAGATTTAGTAAAAATGGATCCAAATTTTTGAAGGGTTTTTTTATGCCTGCTGTGTAGCTCTCTTCCTTATTAGTCTTCCTGTCTTTAAAGAACGACAACCATTCACTATTTTATTGTACATTTTATTTAATAAAGCAGCAACAACCTGTCCTATATAAAAAAAGAAAGCCTATTAGCTTGCCATTCATCTTAATACCTACTGCTATTTTTTTCCGATTAATTTTATTAACATAAGCCTCAGCACCTACTGTGGGGCTTTGTCAGTGACATTACACCATCCTCCTCTCAACTGCATTTTCCCTGGACCTCAACTTCTGTTTCCATATTATAAATATCTTTTTCTCTCAGTGTAATTGTACTGATCAGAATGATGCTTAAGAGTGACAGTGGGTCAACGAAGCAGAATTATCTGTCTTGGAGAGAAGAAAGGTGAAAAATAAGTGGTTTTAAAAGACTGAGACGTTTGTAAAATAAGCTTCTTGCCTATTTGAGACCGCTGAATGAAGTAAATTAGGGAATAGCCTATTTTAAATCTTGTCAACAAGAATTTAGAGAGATAATGCTTCATAGTTGCCATGGTTTAACCCAGCAAACAGCTAAACACCACGCAGCTCGCTCACTCAACTCCCCCTCCTCCTCAGTGGGATGGGGGAAAGAATTGGGAGACTGAAAGTAAAGAACCCATCAGTTGAGATAAAGACTATTTAATAAATAAAAAGAAACCAAACTGAAATAATAATAATACCAATGAACTGCAACAAGAATAGGAACGATGATAATAAAGCAATCAAATTTATACTCAGCTCACAAACAGCAGCCACTGGCTGTACAACAAAAACGCAACAAGGCAGGGGTGAGCCTCAGGAACCAAGATGGGCCACCATGGGGAAGGGACAGGGGAAGGGGTTGTCCCTTGCAAACTCCCCAGTTTATAGTGGTGGTGATGTTTATGGGATAGAATACATCCTTATTGGCCAGCTTGGGTCACACCAGGGTCATCTGTCCTGGGTCACCTGTCCCAGAGAATCCTAGGATTTTGCCTTTGCCCCATATCCTTTTGTGCAGAGAGAAGAAAACAGACAAACAAAACTATAACCACAGGTGCAGGTGAAAGACTCAAAAACAAAACCTTCAAAAACTTAAATACTGATGTGTTTTCATTATCAGTCCCAGCACAAGGTACTAGCTAATATAAGGGAGGGGAAAAAAACCTCTGTCCCAGCAAAACCAAGACAATAGTCCAGCTGAAATACTATGGCTTCTTCAGTTAAAAGAGCTTTTTCCTCTCAATTGGCACTACTTTAAATACATAAATAATCCCCCACTTTCTGTCGGCCAGTTGAAGAAAGTTCAAAATTTCTGTGGAAGCCCTGCAGGGAACAATGAGGTCCAGAGAGCTTCCTCTGACACTCGAGTTCTAGGCTCAAACTGTCCTCAAATTGCACTTCAACACACATTTTAATATACTTATTTTTAATTGTGTGCTAAATTAATATTAAAGGAGGCCAAAATAAGCCAGAATGACAGAAGTCACAGAATCACAGAATATTAGGAGTTGGAAGGGACCTCGAAAGATCATCCAGTCCAACCCCCTGCCAGAGCAGGATCACCTAGACCAGGTCACACAGGAACGCATCCAGGCGGGTTTTTCCACAACCTCTCTGGGCAGCCTGGTCCCGTGCTCCGTAACCCTTACAGTAAAAAAGTTTTTCCTCATGTTTAGATTGAACCTCCTATGCTCCAGCTTGCTCCCATTGCCCCTTGTCCTGTCATTGGACATCAGAGAGAAGAGCCTGGCTCCTTCCTCCTGACACTCGCCCTTTACAAATTTATAAACGTGAATGAGGTCACCCCTCAGTCTCCTCTTCTCCAAGCTAAAGATTTTGCAGAGGAAAGCAAACAGGGAAATTCTTACATTTCTTGTAAGACATAGGAATCAAGAAACAGTAATGAAAATATCAATTTCAAAAGAACCAGAATTGACATTTCAGAGAGCAGCTCATTTTAGCGCTCTGGAGAAATCCACTACATTCAGTGCCAAGCACAGGGTATTTTCAGGACATCTTTAGACAAATTTATGGAATTAATACCTACAAGGACTACAAAGCAAGAGATATTGTCTCCAGCTTCAGCATCTGTGCTGAGACTGTTTTCATGACCACAGTACAGAAGTTATCCCTATGCATTTGCTCTCTTCCTATGCTCTTCCCTTAGGACTCACCCTTGGGCAGCTGTCAGAGCCAGGGTACGGCCCCATGGACCTTTGAGAGCTAAAGCAGTTGTGCTTGTGAGGGACTCTAGGAAAGAAAGCCTGTAATATTGCTTACGCTTTACACACCAAAAAGCTTGGAGATAAGTCCAGCTAGGGGAAAAATGTAAAACTGAAGCTACTTTCAATGCACTTTGCTATTCACTTGCTGAATATTAACAGCTATCAAACCCACAAAACATTTTCACAAGAAACGTGGCTTCATTACTTTCAGTATTCAAAGATATTTGCTATGACTACAGTTACCCAGCTTTTGGAAGTAAAAGGCCTAGGACAAACTTTAGGTGAGAGAAACCTTTAAACCACCTTCATAAGTCCAATATTTAAACAACAGATCCTTTGTATCCCACGGGGAGAATGTACTATTAGCAACATCTAAGCACGCTTTCCAAATCATTATTTTTCTTTCAAAAACTGAAAAGTTCTCCTTTTGAGGTAAGGCAAAGAAGCCATAAGTAATGGTTTTGGATTTTTAACAAGGAAAGATTTCAAGTCAGGGAATGATTTAAAATTAAGGTCTGTACAAAGAGATACATAAACACCGTCAATCACTTGAGGATGATGCCTCAAGTGATGTCTCAACATTTGTATTTTCCTTCTTAACTGCCAATTAACAGTCAAACACAGTGAGTGTGTGATAACACCCTGAAACACCCTGCTGAAATGATTGTGTTGGTTTTAAAAAAAAAACAACGAACAAAACCAAAAACAAAACAAAACAAAAAAAACCCCTTGAAAGCATCTCTAAAATTATCATCAGTCATCAGGACCATGAAATTGTTGTACTTTATTTTGGGAAAAACGGAAAAACAAAGCAAGTTTGAAACTCCTCACCAGGTTCTTCAGCAGCGTTGATAACTCTTTAGTAAGTGTGGAAAATTTTACAAAAGCTGTGCCAAGATCTGGATTATCCCGACTTAAAAAATTACTTCCAAATTTATCTAGTACTTGTGCATAGTTTTCTTCGTTTTGAACATGATCTGCAAAGAAAAATTAGAGGTCAGAAAGTTTCTTTCTTGTAGACAGTCAATTACTATTTTAAGCTCATGCGCTGCAATGCAGTGATCAACCAACTGACAAACAGCGCTTCTGAAAAAGTCACTGGTTAACGCCCCCACTGAAAATTACAATAATTTTAATGTTAAAAAGAACTATTTAGCAAAAGACATATACATGCTTCTTTTAAATCAGTGACTTGAATTTGTAATACATCAATGTGAATAAGCTCTGTAGTTATGCATCAAGTAGGAAGATCAATAACAGGTCAACTGAACAATACATGTACTCATTTTGTAAGCAACACAGGAATTTATCATTGTCTAATGCAAACTTTTTAATTGTAAGGTAGCACACTTTTGCAGAGCAAATAAAGTCAACAGTATCAGATATAAAACTGAGGAGACCAAGTCTGAATCTGACTGCAAGTTTAAAAGAAGAAACATAACTTACAGTCAAAAATTCACTTTTCATCTGCTTTGCAAAACTGAGTTACCCACAGAGTGGAAGGCACATTGATATACAGCCAAAGACTTGCTTTAATCTATTTAACAGCAAATTTGATATGCAGAGAGGTCAGGACCAGTGAAGAAGCCAGTGAAGGCGAGCAAAATTCTGAACTACAGACCATTTTGCCTGAATGTTTTTCCTGCTTCTATTACTTTCCTTTCTGGCATCTGTTTGCAAATTTTTTGTTACTTCCATTTTAGCATCTTTAAAAACAAAAAAATAAAAATCGCCACTGCAGCCCTTTGTTACACACTTTATCATCTCCATCTCTCTTAGCGGAATATTGTCGGTATTAATTAAATCAACATTTCACTTTAATGAGCTTCCTAGCCTTACTAGGTTTTGGTTTTTTTCCCTGTAAGCCACAAACACAAAACCACAGAGCTATTCCAACTAGAACAAGTTCTATGCAATGAAAACAGGGAAAAAGGTGAGAATTGTTGCCAATAGCTGCCATGTTTTTCCCTAAAAGCTTTCTACTCCTCAAGTTGTCACATTGCCTGAGAGCATTTGAATTAAAAAAATGAAAAGGGGGAGAAAACTGAAAAAAAAAACAAAAAACAACAAACCAAAACCAACCAAACAACCCCCCTCCCACAACCCCCAAAATCCCACAAAACAGAAGTTTCAAACAAGGCTTGTGGATAATGTTGCACAATGCATGAATCTACTTTGACATTAACTAAGAGCTGATGAAGAGTTAAACTATAACACTTCTAAGCTATTATAGGTGCTCAAAACAACAGTGCACTAAAGCACAAATAAAGTGAAAGCTGGTTAGGAGACAAAAAAATAAATCACAATGCTTATTTACCAAAAACAAACCCCAAACCTCATGTATCAGACAAGTTGCATTCTAAAATCAGGCACCAACACTGGGGTTTCCAAAGGGCCAAATATTTAATCATATATTAATACGGGTTGTAACTCAAACAGCACGTTTTTAATAAATCTGTTCCAAAAGCATACGGTTTTAATCGAATGGCTTAGCATTTTAATGCTGAGGAAACCACTATATAATAATAAAATATGCTTTCTGTTTTGATGTAAAAGCTGTTGCATAAATATACACAGAAGACTTTATCTAAGAAGGAGCTTTGGCTTATGCAGTTCTGAGCTGATAAAGCTTCACCGTACCCTGCTGTGTAGAGGGCAAAGGAAAGAGAAGGGAACAAAGTCAGAAAGAAATCTGCTGGATTATGGAAACCCTGTCAGGGCCTGTGGAGCACTTCTAACCACACCGCATTTCCTAACATTTTAAGCTCTGCGTTGCTTCATAGAGCATTTTCAAAAACAATTTTGTGAAGAGACTGCAGAAGAGCTGAAGGAGCCCGTTTCCTTTAGCTGGGGGAAGACAAAAGAAATTCCTGGTCAGAAAGAAGAAGCGGATCACTGTCCTAGAACAATACCTAGGAAATTCTCAAGAATTCTAGGTCACAAATTGCCTAAATCCAGAAGTGAGGTAGCATCCAGAAAACATGCCACTAGAATTAAAGCCTTAAATTCCCACTGTCTAAACCAGTTTCGTTCAGATATATCACCCTGTAAACACTGAAGAACAACAAGAAAAAGTTAAATACTTTACAGAAGAAAAATGGACAAATAACTATTTCCTGTCACTGATTATACTTAAATTGTACCCAAAGTAACCTGAAGAATGTCTAAATTACTGTCAAGTACTTTTGCATATCTAGTTTAAGCAAAAAAAAAATAATAAAAAAATCACAACTCCAAATCCTGATCAACCTGAAACTATTTTGATGTTGCACTTATAAAACAGCTTTGTTCCACGGCTAGCCAGAGGAAAAATAACCAGGGTCAGAGCCAAGTGCATTTATGAATGGAAAAACATACATACAAAAAAAGACTCACAAAGACTTTTAAAAAGCAAGAAAGTTGACAAGGTTAAAAATGGTGGCAAAAGAATTTATTTGAAATAAGAAAGCATCCTCTCCCATTTCATCCTTCACAAAGCTGAAATCTAATGAAACTAGAATAGAAAAGAAAAATTATTTGACAAGCACATTCTTATCTGGGCTTGCTAACAGTGGTGCCTTCTGGACTGAGATTGCTGCAGGGCAAAGTAACAACAGCCTCTTCCAGAGATTTGCAGAGCAAGGAGCACCTCAGCACTCTGCAAGGTTCTCCAGATCATCACGGGGTGAGAGCACTGACAGATAAACCAGCTCAGAAGGGGAAATGGCTTCTTTTTGCATCTGTGTTCATCACTGACGAACTTGAAGAAGTTCTCATGGAATAATTTTCTTTTAGTTCTGCTTCAGAGGATTTATACTGAATCTAAATGTTGACTGCAGAACTCATAAAAGCTGACTAAATGAGCGATGGCAAGTCACTTAGACCCAGGTACAGAAGGATAAAACAGGGAAACCATATACTTCTAAAGCCAAGCCTCTTATTTATAACAGCCTCAATACTACAGGAAGAATGAGAAGCAAATAAAATAGCCATTTTTAATAACAGCTCCGGAGTGAACTGAGAATTCGAGAGCGCACCAGCAGAGCAGTAATGTTGATATATTCCCAAGGCAAATTTGTAGAAACTACAGTGCAGAACAGAATTGGTGGACATGTGGATAAATACAAAGTGCTGAACTAGAAACACAGCTTTTATAAAACATTTTTACTTCACAAAACTGCCCCTCACGTCTGGGGATCAACAAGCATGTGGGGAGAGGACATCCACATTAAGTTATAAAGTTTGGAGTTCTGAAAAGCTCGCTCTCTCTCCAAAACACTAAAAGAAATGAAGCAAACAAAGGATAACAGGGATGAAATTCACAGAGAGGGAAAACAGGTCAAAAAAATCAGAGGCGAAGAAGGAAGGAATAAAAAGTTCATTTTCTCAACAGAGGGAGGTCACCAGTGAAGTCCTGTCTGGAACACTGATAAGGCCCATATTTAACAATGTAGAAATCAGATAGGAAATAAGATCACAGAATCACAGAATCGCTCGGTTGGAAAAGACCTCTGAGATCATCATGTCCAACCGTTCCTGTCTACCCCCTAACCCATATCCCTAAGTACCTCGTCTACCCGCTCTTTAAATACATCCAGGGATGGTGACTCCACCACCTCCCTTGGCAGCCTGTTCCAGCCAATTTATCATACTGATAAATTCTGTTCTTCTTTTCTACATAATGCTATAAATTATTTAAGGCAATACAAACAAAAGCTGACTCCAAAAGTGAGATTAATTTGTCCAGAGACTTCTACAACAAAGATATCCAGGGGGTACTGGTGGATGAGAAGCTGGACATGAACCACCAATGTGCATCTGCAGCCCAGAAGGCCAACTACATCCTGGGCTGCATTACAAGAAGTGTGGCCAGCAGATCGAGGGAGGTGATTCTGCCCTTCTGCTCTGCTCTGCTGAGACCTCACCTGCAGTACTGCATCCAGCTTTGGAGTCCCCAACACAAAAAGGACATCAAAGTGCTGGAGCAGGTCCAGAGGAGGCCACAAAGATGATCAGAGGGCTGGAGCACCTCTCCTACAAAGACAGGTTAAGAGAGTTGGGGTTGTTCAGCCTGGAGAAGAGAAGGCTCTAGGGGGACCTTATAGCAACCTTTCAGTGCCTGAAAGGTGCCTATAAGAAGTCTGGGGAAGAGCTGTTCACTAGGTCATGTAGCAATAGGACGAGGGGTAATGGTTTTAAACTAGAAAAGCGTAGATTTAGGTTGGATATTAGGAAAAAGTACTCCAATATGAGGGTGGTAGATCACTGGCACAGCTTGCCCAGAGAGGTGGTAGAGGCCCCATTCCTGGAGATATTCAAGGTCAGGCTTGAATCAGCAAACTGATCTGGTAACATTGTCCCTTCTTACTGCAGGGGTTGGACTGGATGAGCTTTAAAGGTCCCTTCCAACCCAATACATTCTATGATTCTGTGATTCTATATTGCCCTTCCATTCAGCATAGGAAAAGTTACATTTCAGCTCATCCTAATGTAAATGCAGAGGAAGGCAGATGTATCTCACCCTTGCAGTCTCTACATACATACATTTATCATGTATAGAGTCTGTGGCAACAGGATCACATCTGGGTACCTCCCCAGTGAGATGAGGAAGCCCATGTGGAATGGCCAATGCATGAAAGTGTATATTAGGCAGCATGACACACAAGGGAAAACACTTCAAACTAAGAAACTATGTAACTAGACATTATAAAGAAGGGTTCTGAAGTTATTTTGCCTCAACATTCAATACCAAGCAAAATGAAGCTGAACATCAGGATGTATTAAGAAAGAAACAGAGCATGCAATAGAGCAACATAAAAACATTGCCAGTGTGCTTAAACCCTTAATATTGTGCATGGTTCCTGTCACTGTTCCCCAAAATTCATTCCTCTTCCCTGTTTTAAAAAACAAAATCTATGTTGCCATCTTGGTGAAAGAGAGTAAGAATGATTAGACTTATCTGACAACCTTTGTAAAACAAAACAAAACCACCACCAAAACCCCCTAGGGCTGCTGAGTTCAGAAGGGAAGTTGTGGGTGATTGTGGAAATAACTCAGTCCAGAAACCTATTTCAACAGGTAGAACGGGCAACACTGGATCAAGCTTGGATTCCTCCATCAAAAAGTCCTCCAACGCTGCTCTAGCAGACTTTGGGATTTCAAAGGCCCCTACAAATTCCCATGCCCCAGGACATGTAAAAACCCCTCAGTTTCACACCAAATGAGTCATTCTGGTGGGGTTGAGGCAATGCTTTGAGACAGAGACAGGGCCAGTCTGCTCCTCAGGGAGTTGAGGCCTGCATAGGACAGCTTCACAAGGGAGCAAGGGTACATTTAACTAGATTGATGCAAGACTACGAATGATAAAGGTTTATATTGATTTAAATGCCCTAGACAAAATGTAAAAGTCCATTTAGAAGTTTCAAGCATCACAGTATCAGTTCTGACTCAGGTAATTTAAGGCCTTCATGTCATTGTGAGCTGAGAAGGTATTAAAAAATAATAATTAAAAAATGAAAATAAAAAAATGAAAATAAATAAAAAGCAAAATAAAATAACTCCATCTTCACACCCTTTTTCTGCTTCCTCAAGCATCTGCTGTTGATGACTGCAGAAGATGACATGCACTGCTGGTCCAACTCAGTGCCTTTGGTCTTACATGGATTTTATATTTTTATTTCTCCACTGTGTAAGTTTTTGACTATATTTGGGAGTTATACCAGGGAACTAATGAAAAATTGCTGCTTAAAAAAAAAAACTACAAAAAACCTACTTGTGCAGTCTACTGCTGTTACAATTCAATCCAAATGTTATGGGAAAGCCAGTCAGAGCAGATTCTCCATTAAGTTCAAGCACCATTCATGTAAAATGGATTCCTATTAACAGATACAATCTATCATGCCAGAAATAAATAGCAAGACAGATAAGGAGGTGCTGGTGAGAAAGAGATATCAATTTGTATGTCTCACTGGATTTCATGAACAGTACTTTCCCAAACAGTATTTTCACACAGGAAAAGAGGGATGGGACCTTTCTGAAGGATTTCCACATTTCTGTGCTGGTAAGTTTTCATTTCCACAGCAGTAGATCTATAACTAAATATGACAAACAGGCAAGGGATGTACACAAAAAAGCAAAAAGTATTTGGGTGACATTTAAGCTCTTTTTGTAACAGAAGTCACTCGTGGCTCATAATTCAGCAACGAAGAGGAACAAACCAGCACATCAGAGGGGTAGGTTTTTCTGCAGAACTGTGTGTGTGAGACATTGCATTGTGTGAACGTGACTGTTCAAATATTACTTCAGGCAAAACACAAAACCAAAAAAACCCCAATCCAGATACAACCCAAAACATCCCAGCTATGACTTTCAGCCAAGTATGAATTTGATCACTGAAGAGAGAAAAATTTCTGTTTCCTTTCCCAAAGGAGATTAGGAAACAGGGGAGTTTTGAAAAATATATCCTAGCAAACAATTAAGACTGCAAACCACAGCTACAATTCTGAGTTCTCAAAATGTAGTTACAGGCTTTAAGAAATATGAAAACAGCCACCTAACTCTCCCTTGAACTGATAAACGACAATGCATTTTACAGTTGTTTTTAGTATGTTTTAGATGAAGTTAAACATTAAGAAAATCTACCTTTATCACTGAAGGATGATAAAAAAATAGGTGGCTTAGTAGTTCTCTTTGTAGAAGCAGGCAAAATGAGTTTGAGTTTCCACTCAGTCACTGAAGAGGGAGCTAGAGCACTGCATATAATCCTTTCTTAAGCCAAAAGAATTCATGCTAACTTGTACCTTTGAAACAAAGCTTGTTCAAAAAAGAATAAAAAGTGGAAAATCAGCTACTTAACTATCTCTGGTCCTTTTTAAGTGCAGAGACAGCCAATTAAAACCATTAACCAACCTTCCATCGCTTTTACTCAATGCAACTAGTTCATGAAACAGTATGGCTACCTGCAGGCACTGAAAACAGGATTACTTTCATTACAAGACAAGTGTTAGCTAAAATCTCTAGTATCATATGTTTCAAAACAGGCTGAACACTTCTGATGTGTTCGACAATATTCATCAGCTTTGAAATGTAGGAAGTAGTTACTTCAAATGGAAAAGCTGCTTGGAGCATCTGAATACTTTTAAAAGCATAAAACTAAATACACATATCAGATACTATTCTTACGTTGTCAGGCTTCACAGTCTACTGGGAACACATTCATCAACTGAAGTTACAGAAAATCTCATTAAAACGTGGAGCTAGCAGAGCAACAATATTAGCGACTGGCAGAAGAGAAAAGTTTAGAATCTACAGTACATTACAAAGCCCCCACACTTCTGTAAACACGAGGTAATGGGACAGCACACACAAGCACCACAAAAACTAAAATCACTCAGAAGCTGAAGGAAAGTATTTGCTAAACTAATTATTATTGCTAGGGAATAGGAACTGGGAATTTCTCAAATGCAGTATTTACAGTCAGATGGTTACTGGAAGGTGTACAGCTTTGCTACCCTATCTGCCTTTGGCATAATTTTTAGACCTTAAGAGAAACAGGGATAGAAGCCAGATACACTTTATAACATTTTTAAAACCTAATTTGTATAATCAGTTACTAATTTTGTAAACTTAAGCTGATTATCAATTCATATTCAAAGTTATTACTACAGCTCCAATAAAAGATCAGTGTCTTCAAATAAGCAAGATAATGATACATCTCCACTATTTTAGCTAAGAAGGGAAATACATCATTTTTTTGGTACAAGTTATGAAGGGAGAGCAAGTGTTGAAACCTGAAGATACTTCTTTATATTTATTTATTTTTAAAAGTTTTTAACAAGTTTCCATTCTTATTTCACTGAGCAGTGCACTCCATAAATTCAGTCTAGGACATTGTCTTGTCACAGCTCTAGTTGAAGGTAACTGCTTGAAACGCTATGACAAGAGGAACATTTACCCATCAGAATTCTCCTAGAGACATTTGAGGAGGAATATGAGGATGAAAGAGTTGGAGAACACATTAATCTGGTGTATAACCAGAAGCAGAGAAAGCAAGTTTTTAAATCCAAACACTCTTAAACAGATAAGCATCTCTTATGATACACATTTATTGCAAGACACTTCTCAAACTTGAAATCAAACACTTAGGTTCTCATGTAAAACTGAAAACAATGTCTTACCTTGCCCCGAATTATATATTGCTTTCACAGACTTTTTCACCTTCTGTAGAGCAGTTCTGTCTTGATCTAATGCCTACAATAACAACAAATGAACAAACTTTAAATATTTACTTCAGTGACCAACAGAATACACTGTAACATTTTAAAAGAAACCCACAAATTAAGCAGTTTCACAGGCTGGAAAAAATGCAGATACAACATTCAGCCTGCAGGAAGGTCTGAGGTCATTCAACCACTTCAAGATAAATTAAGGAACTGATCTAAAAATGCTCTGAAGGCACAGTAATGCTAAAAGAAAAACACTATTTTAGTTTTGCAAGGGACAAAGCATTTATTCAAATTATAATATGATTTGAAAAAAAAACAACCCAAGAAATAGTTACTATAAGCTTCTACTACAACTAAACTCCTTGTTTATCTCTATGGTTGTCACACAGTAGTAGTCTTCCACCTCTAGACACAGGTTATCATATCAACCTCTTTCCTCACACTCCACAACAGAGCTTGATAAATACAGAAAATGAAAAGTAGCAAACTGAAAGAAAAGGACTAAGATCTGATTCTCACAGAATCACGGAATCTTAGGATTTGGAAGGGACCTCGAAAGATCATCCAGTCCAACCCCCCTGCCAGAGCAGGATCACCTAGACCAGGTCACACAGGAACGCATCCAGGCAGGTTTTGAATGTCTCCAGCGAAGGAGACTCCACAACCTCTCTGGGCAGCCTGGTCCAGTGCTCTGTCACCCTCACAGTAAAAAAGTTTTTCCTCATGTTCAGATTGAGCCTCCTATGCTCTAGCTTGCATTTTTGTACAACAAAATGTGATTGAAAGGAAATATTAATAAGAATAATACTCAAATATGCATTTTCAGGATTTCATCATTCCGAATTTCTAATTTGCTGCAGGAGTTTCAAAATCCAGAAGAAAACTTTACTAAGTAATGATTAATTTAGGGTTAAATATTTAGGTACTTTCTCTTTTAAGCAATATAACTTCTCCCTACCCACTCATAAACTGATGCGAGAAATCAAATTAACATGAGAAAGAAGTGCTATGACACAGCAAAAAATAGAATCAAAGTAAACATCATTATTTCCTCTAATTTTTCCTCTAATTTAGGTTATAGGCAATTTCCCATCACATAAGTAATGTTAGTTCAATAATCTCAAGTTTTAATGAAGCTGGCAGTGTTTGCCATATTATATTCACGTTCAAATCACTGAAGATTGGAGATCTTGTACTCAGAATCACTGCCAGGACAGCAGCCCAACCCAGCCCATCAGCTGTCGTAGGCCACGAAGTCCATGTTACAGAGACCTTTGGGTCTCAGTTTCTGTCCTTTAATTGAAAATCATCCTAATCTCAAATCACATAACCTCTTCTGTGGTAGCTAAAGCTAGAAAGTTTGGAACCACAGAATTTATGTAACTGTTTTCTAGTACTATTTTATCTCTGGTTTTTCATTTGCAGCAGAAAAATGGATCCTGAATACCACTGTTTCCTTTGCTCTCCAGTAAAACAGCAGATTTTACTTGACAAAAAGAGTTAAAATTTTAAAACGTAATAAAACATTAAGAACTCTATGTTCCTTTTCAAGGCAGCGCACAGCACATGATTCTCCTTCGATTCCTTTGCAAACGCTGTCAAAAGCTTTTGCTTCTGCCTGCATGCTATGCCAGGCAGTTGTTATAACAAATTTCTGCTGAAGTTCTCTGTCTTCAATGACCAGAATAAAAATAATGATTCACTTGTCTGTTGAGAGTTTGAACACAGGATAAAAGACAACAGTTAATATTTATGAGATTCAGAGACAAACCTTTGCAGCAACTTCTAATACTGATGCTAACTGGACACCCAGGAGGAGAAAACAAATACAAGAACTCCTAAAATATGGTACCTCTTCCTGAAGATATCAATCTAGAAGACTAGGACACAGACTAGAAAAATCTTCCAAATTGGATTTGATATAGAATTAATCACTAATATCGGAGCAGGAGGGAAGGGAACATTCAGTATTTTAAGAGAGCAATCACTGAGCAAAGCTATACACAGAGATGACATCCACTGCCTGAAGGAGCCGGTGATCTAAGTTAGGATGACATTACAGGTCAATTTTGTATTTTTATATTTGCAAATACAATCTTTACATGAACTAGTTCTTCATAGTCCAAAATTCTTAAATAAAACAAATCCATGCACACTCATAACCATATACCAGGGCAGAATGTAAAATGTCTACTGCAGGATTCTAGTTACACAAAACCAGCTGTGTATAGGCGGTTTGCGTGGTTTTGGTTGTTTGGGGGTTTTTTTTGGTTGTTTAGTTTTGGTTTGTTTGCTTGTTTGATGTAACTGTAGTTAGTTTCTAAATACATTACATTCCTCTCCAATGCCTTTGCTAATAACTTTTAGCTGCACGCTGTTAAAGTATATGCTGCACTCAACGCTCAATTCAATTATTATTCCAGAGTAATGGCACCTTTAAATTATGTTAAACTAGAAAGGAACAGCCTTGCTTTCCCCAGTCAGGTGAAAGCATGCTTTTGCAGTACCTCTGAATTTTATTTTCCAGCATTTCGAATACCAAACACTTTCACTCCCTAACTGAGAAGACCCCAAGTCTAATCTTCCAGCATAAGTGACACACATTCATATTAGTGAAAATTACAATGCCTTCAAGACCCAAGGAGTCTCTGTGACAAGTATGCAGATGTGCTCCTTCCCACATACTGAAATCTTCCTCATCACCACCCACTCCTGGAAAATGCTGCTTCTTCATTTCTGTGATATCATTTCCCAGGAGGCCTTATTAAAACTTCCCTGGGAGAAATTCCTACAATCTTACATATTCTGAAGAGATAAAGATTTACTAAAGGTGCCTGCAACACAGATTTACTACCTTGGCTGAACAAAGTTTTAGTCTTTAAAATGGTCATCTTGGAGACAAACTCCATTTTCACACAAAATAATGGAAATATAGTGTTCACAAAAGCCCCTGAGACATATTAGTGAAGAAAAGATGAAAAATAAAATCTGTACTTCATCTGCTCATATAAAATTAAACAAGGAAAGCTCCTTGCTCCTTACACTCAGCAGATTCACTATACATGATCTCTGGCATATGCCCTGTCAAGGTTTCATCTTCCTCCATTCCCTTCTATTGAAGCTTATCCTAGAGAAGAAGTCTATATTCTGGACATCATACCCAAGATTATTAGATGTACTTATTCCTAATAAACATGAAAAACATTGATTGACATAAAACTACTGTTACAGACTGATCACAAAAGTGTTTCACATGGATATTCAATTTAGTTCTTCTAGAAACCAGCACCATCCTAGAAGCACACATTTGCACAGAGGATGCTACAGCTCCTCCACCCCAACAGATCAGATCTACAATGACACCAAACATGTCTTGTGCACCTTGCAAACCTTTACTGTTTGAAGAGGGGGAAAACCCCACTGATTTTTGTTTCAGCATTACAACAATAAAGAGACGGGAGCAGCTCGAGACACTGACAATCAGTTTAATATGTCAGCAGACATTATTAATCCCTTCAAGTACATCATTATCCAGAGGGGATGGATTTTCCAACTGGAACAAACTCTTTGTCCTCATATCAGAGGAGGTTTAGAATTTCACTCCACTTTTTTGGAGGTTTGCCCTAAAATATTCCCTTATCCTACGACTACCAAAACCCATCCACAAATATAATATACCAAAACAGAAGTGTTTTAATCCCATTCTGGCAGGGAGGTTGGACTGGATGATCTTTCGAGGTCCCTTCCAACTCCTAATATTCTGTGATATTCTGTGAATTACAGTAGTTTACACAAGACAAACCCACGACAGAAGCTTGAAGGCTATTAGACCATGCGCAATCTATGTATTCCTGACAAAAACACCTCCATGCATTTTAAGCAATTCTTTTCATATCTTGAAAGAAATAACCTATGTGAAGTATAAAATATTTGAGGTTATGCACACAACTGAGTACAATAAATGCTTGGTAGCCACATGCATCTATTGTCAAACACAAGATTAATTATTTCACAGAAAATACACAGATGATCTATTGGCTTTAAGGGACTAGAAGAAGTAAGTCTTTTAACACACTAATCCAACCCTGGCACAGAAGTGACTGACATTTCCTGTTTTCTGCTCAATGTTTTTCTGTAGAGACAACTGCTCAAGTCCCAGTTACAATAACCCTGTAACAAAGTAGAGCAATGGCACCTTACAAAATTACGGTTGTTCGCCACCAGTATCACTTTTCTTCACAATAAAATCCAAACTTTAGTGGATGGGTAATAAACACAGACTAGACAAGTTAATAAGTTATTACATGCCACTGAAATTACAACAAGATAAAACCCCATAATTATTGCAGTGAAACATAACCAAGAGATTAGGGCACTTGATTATGATTTCCCTGAAAATTGGAGGCTTCAAGTGTTTAGCCATAAATTAATGAAAAGAGCATCAGTAATCAAATTCAGGAAATGCGTTTTTCCAGGAAACCTTTTTTTCAGGTAATCCCAAATCTTAACAGAGATCCCATCAGCTGAACTTCCCTCCCATCTCCTGCTGTTTGTTACCTGGCCTGGTGCAACTCAAAAGCCTCTCTCCACACGGGTGTATGTGAGAAAAATCATCAGCTATTCAGTGCTCTAAAGGTCACATTAGATGAGCAAACTTATTTGCACAGTCTCCAAGAAGATTTGCAAAAGTAAGAGTCACTAAATTGCTCTTCAAGTATTACTCAAATGGCAGCACAGTAGATCTTGCTTGAAAAAATCTCTAACAACTGCAGTATTGCTAAATTGTAATTTGTTTTGACAACTAATCTTTGGATCCCTCTTTGCACTCCTACCCAGAAACCTTTTCTGCAAGAGCACGAATGCAGATACTAATTGCTCTCTAGGTGTGATTACTTTTAGATAGAACGAAATTAGCATCATGCTTTTTCCTAACAAGCACAGAGAAGATATTTGATCTTGTACGTGCTCTGACACATTTGGGAATATTTAACAATATTTTGGGCAGTTCCTTCAAGTTCTGAATTG